TCCCTTTCTCTTCCCCTTTCCCTTCCCTCTCCTTTTCAATGAGTCCTTCATATTTTAAGATTGTGAATTTTACAGATTCATTTCCATGCTTCGGTGCTTTGTGGGACCCTGGGAGTTCTGGGTGTCATCCAGCCTTTTCTGGTCCATCCCTGGGACACCCAGCCTGACCTGCAACACCACCAGCACCTCCCTGACACAGATCCTTCCAACAGACCCCTCTACAGAAAACCACCCAAACAGAGTCGATCCCGATGCCTGCACACAAACCCCATCCCAGGAAAACCTGAGCAGGACACATCACACCCCCTGACCCACCTCAGAAACGATTTCTAAACCAGTAAAATCTCATTTTTTCTCCTCAGATCTTTTTTTTTCTTTTTAATTTTCTTCGCACGTGTGAAGCCTGGAAACATCTCCCGAGCGACTGAGCAGCCAGCAGATACCTCAGCCCCTGACTGGTGCCAGAGCACGGAGCCAAACCCTGTTCCCACAGGCAACTGCCTCTTTGGAGCCTCCTGCCTCGGGCACAGGCACTGGATGCTGGGAGGTTCTCTGCTTTTAAAGGAGAAATTCAGAAATCCACCCAAGGAGATGATTTAGACTCATCATCACCCACTTGTAAAACAGCGGCGAAGGAACACGGATAAAGAGCCTGGAGAGCCCAGTTCTGCTCCATGCAGAGATGGATCCGTCAGGCAGAGCTGAAAATACACATTTACAAAGCAGACTGAAGCTCTGGCTGAGGCTGTGGGCCAGCAAAGCCCAGCTGAGACACACAGCCAAATAAAACCTGGAGTTCCGTGCTAAAGCCTGGATTTGCAGGCTGGACTTTCATTCTGGACCTCACAAAACATCCCTCAACCTGCACGAGCTGATGGTTTTCTGGGCAAGCTGCAGGAGAAATTACAGAGCCCTAAACAAAATGCGTGACGTGGGGAAATAAATGGGTATAAATAAGAAAAGAGACACAGCTCAGAGAGAAATCCACGGCATGGAGAGCAGCAGCCTGTGGGACTGCAGGGAAGGATGCTGGGACCTCCAAAGAACAGAGGATCTGGCCTAAATTTAAGCAACCCACCTGCCTCAGCTACAGCCAAAACCCCAGGAGGGCCCACCTGCGCTTCCCAGAGCAGCAGTGGCAGCTCATTTACGGTGGGATTGAGGGATTTTTGGCCACACAACACGAACACCATCCTCTTCCTCAGCACCTGCCCCATCCCCAGCACCCTCCCTGTCACAGATCCCGTGTCCCAGCTGTGATCTTGGTGTCACTAGAGCTTTTCTGCCGAATTCCTCTGAAACAAACACGTTTCCAAGTTTTCCCATGCGCTGCCTCGTTGCTTTCTTTGATCAATTTTTTGTTTATTTAGCAGCTTCAAAGCAGGGAGG